TGATAGATGAAGTGGCTAAGCTTGGGGTCCTACGGTTAGTAAATTTGCACTTGAACCCACTGAGTGCAGGGCTTCCTCGGAGGGGCGGAGAAGCTGTGAGGAGGAGGTGTTTCTGATGGGAACAGCCTGGATGTGGTGTGTTCTAGGACTGAGGGCAGGAGTGGCAGGCTGGTTGGAGTGGCGGGTCTATGGATAGAAACAGCTGGGATGGGTGAGGGCCCCGGGCTGCTTCAGTACCTGCTGCAGAGAGAAGGATGAGCACCTTGGGCATCCTTGGTGAGGGTTGTCGTCCTCCCTCCTGTCCTTTGGATTATGGGAGAAATCCTGGGTGGCTCTCTCACCTCTGATTGTATAGTCGTTGAGTGGCAGGTGTGTGAGTGACTTCGGGACGGTGTGAAATGAGAGTTGTCAGTGGCTAATTTGAGGCTGGAGCCCGACAGGGGTGTCTAAGGAGGATGGGGTACTGCCCTTGGACTGAGAGAGAGGGACAGGTACAGGATAGGATCTAGACTTGAAGAGTGTGCTCCCTGCCCTGAGCCTCTGGTTGGGATGCTGGTGGTGTTGGGGGGGTGGGGGCGTTCTGAAGGTACTCTGATAGTGGGTGGGCCGCTCTGGTCTTGGCACCTGAGGCTGGTACCCAAAGTGTTTCTTGGCAGGTGCTCTCCCTTATTCCTGAGGCAAGGCAGTCCCTGGGCATTTGGGGAGGGAGAGAAGCAAGAGATATTTGGTGTTAGTGGACCCAGGCCACTTTTGTTGCTCACTTGGGGGCTCTGAAGTTGATGGGGAGATGTGGAGGACTTTTACAGTTACTGTAAGTTGTGTTTACTTCTGCAGAACTCTGAAAGAAATGCAAAAATGCTTTAATGCATTTGTAGTATTAGCTGGTAATTCCAATTAGTCATCCTTTATTGGAACCCCTGGTTGGCCAGCACTCCACCAATCAGAATCCCTGGTTAGGCAGCATTCCACCAATCAGAACTCCTGGTTGGGCAGCACCCCTGGTTAGTTGCATCTATTAAAGAAACTGTCATCTGGCCCTGGCCTGTGTGGCTGAGTTGGTTGAGCCTGGACCTGTGCACTGAGAGGTGGCTGGTTGATTCCCAGTCTGAGCACATACCTGGTTTGTGGGCTTGATCTCCAGCAGAGGGCGTGCAGGAGGCAGCCAATAGATGTTCCTCCCTCCCTCCCTCTCTCCCTCTTTCCCTTTCTCCCTCTCTCCCTCTCTCCCTCTCTCCCTCTCTCCCTCTCTCCCTCTCTCCCTCCTTCCCTCTAAAAGCAATAAATACATTAAAAAAAAAAAAAAGGAGCCTGACAGCTTGGCTCAGTGGTTGAGCATCGACCCAATTTAACTATCGATTGGTAGTTAAAATGGCTCTCAGCCCTGGCCGGGTAGCTCAGTTGGTTAGAGCATCATCCTGATATGCCAAGGTTTGGGGTTTGATTCCCAGTCAGTGCACGTACAAGAATCAACCAATGAAAGCATAAGTGGGAGACCAAAGCTCAGCAAGTGTTGGGGCTGGGACTTGAACCTGGATCCCAGGACCCTGCTCTGGTGGGGCACTTTGCAGGTGGTCCAGGTGCATAGCAAGAAGCTCAGAGGAGTCCCAGGAGCAGTGAGCATCTCTGCTACCTGTCTGTGCTACCTGTCTTGTCTTTGAAGTCTTAGTGCCGGGTAGCTGGGGGCTTGCATAGGAGCTTGTGGCTGGAGATGTGACTGTGGGGACTCAAAGGGAGTAATGATGTCTTCTTCAGCCTCAAGCCTGTGACTGAAGGAGGTGGTCCAGGTGCATAGCAAGAAGCTCAGAGGAGTCCCAGGAGCAGTGAGAATCCTGCACCAGGAGGTAACAGTTCGATTCCTGGTCAGGGTACATGCCTGGGTTGTGGGCTCCATCCCATGTGGGGCCTGCAGGAGGCAGCCGATCGATGATTCTCTCTCATCATGGATGTTTCTATCTTGCTCTCCCTTTTTGGAAATCAATAAAAATATATTTTAAAAAAAGAAAAGAAAAACAAACGGTCAGCCGGTACTTCCAGGACCGTTTAGGTGAGTGAGTGGGAAAGTCTTGGTGGCAGCCCAGGTCCCCACCAGGAAGAAGTCTTTTCTGGGACTTAAGTCTGCACTGGCTTAACCAGCAGCCAGTTCCTGAGCCAGGAGGCTGGGCTGATGGATTTGGTGTTGAAGAGGACAGGATGGAACATCTGGAAGAGGCAGGCTGGCGGCTTTCAATGAGCAGGAGACAACATAGGCCCCTGCACAGTGCCCCGCCCCCTGCCCTCTGGGAACTTCCACTTGAGAAACGTCCCTGGGAAGCCAAACCACCGGGTGGTTTCTGCAGTCTTCTTTGGTCTCCTCAGTTTGTGGACGTCCTGAGGAGATGGGAGAGGCAGAGGGTTGGCTCCCCAGAGCTGAGATTTCATGGGCAGATGAGCTGGCTTGGGGGGCAGGAGTCAGAGGGTCTTGGGGTGCTGCCTCTTGCTGCCATACACAGGGCTCTGATAAACAGTGGGCTGTGTGTGAGCCATCAGTAGAGGGTGCCGTCAGCTGGTGGGGAAGGAGAGTGTGAGCTTGGTGCCTGCTGCTCCCTGGCCTGGCTGCCTGACCTTGGGCATGTCCCTTCCCCTCACAGGACCCTGGACTCCTCATTGCAATAGGATGGTGCAGCCACCTCGCTGGGTTTCTGTGAGAGTCGGAGGGAGATATGTAAAAAGGTTCAGTGAATGCTAATAGTGAACATGATGGCAGGCATACCTGTGCTTGGTCCTTTCTACAGGAGCAACTGTCACCTGCCTGTTGGGGTGTGCTGCTCTGGGACAGTGCAGAGCCCGCTCTACTCTGCGGCGAGACCTCTGAGGGCTCAGAGCAGGGTCCTGGGATCCAGGTTCAAGTCCCAGCCCCAACACTTGCTGCGCTAGATCTTTTCCAATCCTTTGTGTCGTCGATACACACAGGAATTATGGGCCACACAACTCAGAGGAAGATATGACAATTCAATGAGAAAATTCCAACAAAATGAGTCCTTAGCACGTTATAGTAAAAACTTTAAAAAGATTTAAGAAAACACCCACACCTTATTACTCTGTTGCTAGGTCCTCCAGGCTCCTGTTTGACTCCTTATTACTTTGATCTGTTCTAGCCTTTGGGCATCACCAGGGGAAACCCAGGGACTGGGTGAGTGGGGTTCTCTCATTCTGTCACTCCTGACGGGGAGGATGATGTTGCCAGACTGAGTTACCCGGTGGTTTGGCTTCCTATGCACGTTTCTCTCCATCTTTTCTTGCCCCAAAGATCCCCAACTTTAATCCACCCGTCATAGAGCCTCTGGAAGGCACTGCCAGGCCCAGGAGCCTGGACTCCGTTCTAACCCACCTTCCCCTGAAGGTCAGGCGCACCTCTGCATATCCGGTCTCTGACCTGCATCCACTCCGGCCACATGAGTCACCTCCACTGCAGGGCAGGGAAACTGGGAGAAGTGAGGTGCCCCCAGGTACCTGGCTGTCTGACTTTAAAACGGTGTCACTCCCCTCTGTGAGCCCTAAGCCCCATCTATAAAGTGGGGGTCATGGACCCCCTTTACAGACTGACATTCTGAGGCCTTGCACTCTGTGGGACGGGGCCCAGGGAGGCCCTGGGGGAACTGGTGGAGGAGAGGTCTTGTCTCGACCCTGAGCAGCAGCTGACGTAGAGCCCGCTCCTGGCTCATCCCCAGCTGACGACCCTCTGTCGGGAAAGGCTGAGGCATAGGAAGGGGCAAGGACAAATCCAGGGTCCTGCAGGGAGCTGAGGTGGGACAGATGGGGTGGGCTGTGGGGCCAGGAAGGGCCTCAGCTGTCTCCAGCTGTTGAAGATGTGTTTCCCTCTTGGTTTTCATGCAGATTCCTTTCTGCCTGGGGCTGGGCGTGGGGGCCTGGCATAGTAGGGGAGCTGAACCAGGCACCTCTTTGAGCCCAGGCTCCCCCATCTATGGAAACGGGCTGCCCAGAGTCCTTTCCCCATTACCTCAGACCCAAGGGTGTGAGCCCAGGCCTGGACCAGTCACCCCGGGGGAGAGGGGGGCACATCAGGAAGAAACCAGGGCTGTGGCTTTGGGTGGGGCCAGTGGCCTCTTCTGGGAGCCTAGCATCTGGAAGCCATCAAGCCAGGGGCGGGGGGTGTTGCAGCAGAAGGCCCGGAAGGAGGAGGCCACACATAGGCCCACCCCTTGGGAGCAGTGGCTTTGGGCCCGCAGTCCCTGTTGTCTCTGCCTACCATCGCCTCTCAGCCCACAGCCTCACTCCCTTCACTGGCTGCCTTCTCTCTCAACCCACAGGCTGCTACTCCTACAAGATGCAATCGCATAATAGGCAATAACATTGCTCATTGCATGCTGGGAGCCTTGTTTCTCTGGCCCAGGGTGGTCTGCCTCTTGGAGTACGTGTGCATGGAGAACTGTCCCTAGGGGTGGTTGGCTTGGCATCCCTTCCCTGGAGTGAGTGCTACCTGTCTTGTCTTTGAAGTCTTAGTGCAGGGTAGCTGGGGGCTTGCATAGGAGCTTGTGGCTGGAGATGTGGCTGTGGGGACTCAAAGGGAGTAATGATGTCTTCTTCAGCCTCAAGCCTGTGACTCTGAAGGAGGTGGTCCAGGTGCATAGCAAGAAGCTCAGAGGAGTCCCAGGAGCAGGTGTCTCCAATTGTCACCTGGGTCCACCTGCCTCAGAATCACAGGGATTCTAGCTAGCCGTGTAGGTTTTGGGCCCCACTCAGACCTGTTTTCCAGGCACTGGGGCTGGGACCTGGGGTATGCACAGTGACTTTGATACCCAGGTATCACAGAGCACGCTATTCCATCACCCTCCTGATCTGCTGGGGTGTAGGTATCAGGTCTGGCGTCCTTTGCAGGGGGAGAAATAGAAATGCAAGTTACACCCAGGGTCCTCTGGAGATGAACTGTTGAAGACAGGGGCCCTTTGGGGACAGGGCATGGAGGACACCTAGCCTGAGCATGTCCCTGCCTTCCCTGGCAGTCTTGCCAACATTCCACTGACCCCTGAGACTCAGCGGGACCAGGAGCGGCGGATTCGGAGGGAGATTGCCAACAGCAACGAGCGGAGGCGCATGCAGAGCATCAATGCAGGCTTCCAGTCCCTCAAGACCCTCATCCCCCACACAGATGGAGAGAAGCTCAGCAAGGTGGGCGAGGGCTGGGAGGGCTTCCTGGAGGAGGTGGTGGGCTCAAGTAGGGAGAAGGAAGTGAGCTTCAGTAGACGCAGCCAGCTGGGGCCCTGACTTGTCCCTCCTACCCTTAGGCAGCCATTCTCCAGCAGACGGCGGAGTACATCTTCTCCTTGGAGCAGGAGAAGACCAGGCTTCTGCAGCAGAACACACAGCTCAAGCGCTTCATCCAGGTAGCACCTGCAGAGGCCTCCCGTCACCTCAACACCTGTCCTCCTCCTGGCTCCCTCTCCCTGGCATGGGCATGTCTGGGCTCACCACTGGCCTGGGACTCTGAGGCTACAGGTCCCACCTTCCCCACTGACACGCCTACTTCAGGTACTTGCCTTCCTGCCTGGGCTTCAGTTTACCCATCCACGAAGTGCAGTGGAGTGGCTCCGAGAGGAACCGGGTGACTTTTGGCAAGCAGGTCCATTCTGCCTCTGTTTCCCGCCTGTGGCCATGGTTGGATTTGCAGAGTGGGGCTCCCAGTGCCCAGAGCACCTGGGTTGACAGCTTTGGGGGTCTGTGATGGAGCCCTCCAACTTCCCCATTGATGGTGGTGATACGAGGGTGTCAAGGCACACTCACCAACTCCTTGGGGTCCCCAGGAGCTGAGCGGCTCGTCCCCCAAGCGGCGGCGGGCAGAGGACAAGGACGAGGGCATCGGCTCACCGGACATCTGGGAGGATGAGAAGGCGGAAGATCTACGGCGGGAGATGATTGAGCTGCGGCAGCAGCTGGACAAGGAGCGCTCGGTGCGCATGATGCTGGAGGAGCAGGTAAGGCAGGTGGGCGGGTGGGGTGGGGGTTCCAGTCCCTCTCTCCCTTTCCCCCTGTCCCTGCTTCCCTGGAGCGCCTGCTTTGTGCCAGGTTTAGGAATAGGGGGTGGGGGTCTACTGGGGATTGAACCAGGTAGGTACCTGCCCTCAGGGCTCACCATCTGTGCTGGGTAGGAGGATTAGTCAAAGGACCTTACACTGTAAAAATGCAGCTGTGAAAAAGGTCCTGCAGGAAGCATGGGCATTGGGAGGGGGATTTGGTTCTGCCCCACGGCTTCTCTGTCAAAGTGACTTGAGCCGAAGGTGGGAGGTTGTCCAGGGGTGGGTCCCGTCTCACAATTAACCAGGCAGAGAGGGGAGAAGGGTACTGCAGGCAGAAGGAAGAGCATGAGCAAAGCCCTGAGGCTGCAGGGAGGGAGTGAAGGAGTGAGGGAGATGGCCTGAGGGAGGTCATGGCAGGAGGGGAGATGAGTCAGAGAGGGCCTGGTGGGCTATGGTAGGACTTCGGTCTCTTCCCCAGGATGACAGGCTCCGACTGGGGTTTGTAGCAGGAGAGAATGGCCTGTTTGACAAGGGTAGAGCATGGGGAGGCTGGCCTCAGCAACCCCGAGGGCCCCGCACTGGAGATGGTGTAAGGGTGTGGTCCGGGCCCTGCCCCTGAGCCTGCTCTCCCCTCAGGTTCGCTCGTTGGAGGCCCACATGTACCCTGAAAAGCTCAAGGTGATTGCACAGCAGGTGCAGCTGCAGCAGCAGCAAGAGCAGGTGCGACTGCTGCACCAGGAGAAGCTGGAGCGGGAGCAGCACCTGCGGACCCAGGTGGGCAGGTGGCCTCGGGCGGGGCTGTGGGCTCTGGCAGGGCAGGGCCTACATCACTGATGGCGAACCTTTTGAGCTCGGCGTGTCAGCATTTTGAAAAACCCTAACTTAACTCTGGTGCCGTGTCACATATAGAAATTTTTTGATATTTGCAACCATAGTAAAACAAAGATATTTTTGATATTTATTTTATATATTTAAATGCCATTTAACAAAGAAAAATCAACCAAAAAAATGAGTTCGCGTATCACCTCTGACACGCGTGTCATAGGTTCGCCATCACTGGCCCACATCGTAATAATGCAGACATTCTTGGTTCCCAGGTATCTTATAGACATTATTACACGAATCCTTGTAGAAGCCCTTTGAGGCTGTTCTACTGATCAGGAAAGTGAGGCACAGAAAGGCTAAATAACTTGAACCCTGGCTGTCTAAATCCAAAATCTGCATTCCTGACCACCACTGCATTAGATGTTGGAGTGCTTGCTTGGTGCTGGACAGTGAAGGGGCCACAAGTTCTTGGATGTCTGGGAGCCCCTCTTTAGGCTGCCTTTTCTTTGCTGCTTAAAATAAGGGAGGCCAAACTGGCTGGCCTCCTCTCAGTGGTTGGCAGAGGCTGTCTCGAAGCAATGGGCAGAGGGAGTTGGGTTTGGAGGGCATCCTACACCCTCTGTGACCTCCCGAAGGGAAGGGGGAGCTTCCTGAACCTTTGGAGAAAGACTGAGAGCCTCTGTCTCACAGCTCCTGCCCCCTCCGGCCCCCACCCACCACCCCACGGTGATCGTGCCGGCACCGCCACCCCCTCCCTCCCACCACATCAACGTCGTCACCATGGGCCCCTCCTCGGTCATCAACTCTGTTTCCACGTCCCGGCAAAATCTGGACACCATCGTGCAGGTACCTGGTCTCGGGAAGGAGGCAGCATGTCAGGGTTGTCCTCTGGGAATAGGCCCTTTGGGAGACATTAGAAAGCAGGAACTGAAGGGGAATGAGACAGGGCTTGTGTGGGGGAAGGTTGGGAAGCTGGGTGTGTGTCTGTCTCCATCTCCGAGTCTCCCTCTCTGCAGGGATTGGAGGGGGAGCTCTGTGAAGGTGAGGGGTAGAGATGGGGGACAGGCTGCCCCGGAAAACCTTGTTCCTTCCCTCCACGTGGGGTTTGTTGAGAGGGTCTTTTGCTACCGGAGCTCCTGGCTTCCAGAATTCATACATCCAGCTCTTGGTCCAGAATTTCCTTTCACCTCCATCTCCTAGGACCTGAGATGGGGATGGAGGTGGCAGTGGCTGGGAGGGTGACAGTTAAGCCTCCTACAGAGGTGACAGCTCTGTGTGTCAGGCCCAAAGTCATTGCTGTACACAGCCTGGGGGAGTCCCAGTGGCATCATCTATATATATAAAAGCCTAAGCGACTGTTCGAACATTCGACCATTCGACCATTCGACTGGTAGCTAAGATGCGCACTGACCACCAGGGGGCAGATGCTCAATGCACAGGCATGGAAACATGGAACAGACTGATGAATCTCAGAGGGAAGGGGAGAGGAGGGAGGGTGGGAAGAGATTAACCAAAGATCTTACATACTAGAGGCCCAGTGCATGAAATCATGCATGGGTAGGGTCCCTAGCAGCTGCCAGCCACTGGCTGGGGCCTCCCTTCCCTGGCTTCCTGCCAGGGCCTTCCTTTGTTCCATTCCGCCCCCTGGTGGTCAGTGCATGTCATAGCAAGTGATAGAACTCCTGGTTGGTCAAACTCCCAAGGGGACACTTTGCATATTCGGCTTTTATATATATAGACTAGAGGCCTGGTGCACGGATTCATGCACCGGTGGAGTCCCTCGGCCTGGCCTGCGGGTTTCAGGCCAAAACCAGCAGTCTGACATCCCCCAAGGGGTCCTGGATTGTGAGAGGGTGCAGGCCAAGCCAAGGGACCCCAAGGGCCTCTAGTAAAAGAAATAAACAACTAGACCAAAAAAAGTCCATCAATCCCTGGACCTTTAGTTGCACATAATTCCAGCAAATTGAATAGTGAAATTAATAACAAAGACCTTTTATCAGTGAACAGGCCAACTTTGAAATATATAAATAAGTGAAAGATGCTGGTGACCTCCAAGCAGATCTGCACTGTTGTCTCCAAAGGGTTTTTCAGCTCAGCAAAGGTTTACTAACCCTGAGTCTGGCAGGCTGCCTGCTACTCTGGCAGGCCACCTGCTGCTCTACCAGACTTATTTCTGGACCTTTCTGGTGTGTGTGTGTGTGTATGTGTGTCTGAGGGGAGATGGTGGCTGGCTGTGTCCCTCCAGCCATCCTCACCGCAGCCTGTCCCCCCAGGCGATCCAGCACATCGAGGGCACCCAGGAAAGGCAGGAGCAGGAGGAGGAGCAGCGGCGAGCTGTAATTGTGAAGCCAGTCCGGAGCTGCCCGGAGGCCCAGGCCTCTGACACTGCCTCTGATTCGGAGGCCTCGGACAGCGACACCATGGACCAGAGCCGGGAGGAGCCGGCTGGGACTGGGGGGCTTCCCTGACCACCCCCCAGCCCTCCTCTCCCTTCTTGGGGATAGAGGGGGCCGGGGCAGCAACAGGAATACACGCGGGCCAGCGAGTGAGGAATTTTTACAAAATTACAATGTCATTTGGGTCTCTTTTATGACCTCTTTTTCAATACTGTAAGTCAACCTTTGAGTGAAGGCCACCCAACCTGAGGTACTGGGGGCTGGGGTGGTGGGTGTTGTGGGAGCACCGGGACACCTGGGGCTGGGCCTCACCCGGGGGGGCTGGGGAAGCTGACACTTGAGGTGCCTGGCCTCTCTCTGCCAAAAAGCATTTTTTTTTTCATTAAACATGTTTTTAAGAACAGGGAAAATCAAAACCCCAACGTATTTCTGCCCTCCCCAGAGCCAGCTCTGTGACCATTAGTTTTTAACTCCCCCTTCCCTCCTCTTTTTGGTTTTCTTCTTTCTCTAAGCACTTAATGGGTTGGGGGTCCGGCTGGGTCAGGACTCTCTGGGGGTCCGGGGTGGAAGTTGCTTCTCCGTTGGGGTTTGCTGCTGCCCTTTTGCCCTGCCCTTCCATCCCTGCCCCACCTCAGCACTAGGATTTGCCACTCCCCACCACCAGCTGGCCTCCACCTCTCCCTCCAGGTTTCCCATTTTCAATCCCCAGAAATGTCTTTGTCTCTCTGTTCTGTTTGTTGGGTTTTTCTTTTTTCCCCCTTTGTTTGTTTTTTGTTTTTCTTTATTTTTTTTGTTTTTTTTTATAACAATTTCGAGGTCTTTGTGTTCAAGGAGAGCTATTATATTTTGTTAAGAAAGTGTGTGTGGGGGGAACCAAGAGGCCACCATGCCTTTATAAAGAAAAAATAAAGTTTGTACTTTGTTTTTTAGATTGTGTCTCCTGGATGTGTGGTATCCTGTGTTGCTGGGGAAGGCTTACTGGACTAGATAGAGTATGGGATGCTATTTGGACCCACCAGAGGGGATTATATGTGTGTGTGGTGTTGCAATGAGAAATCAGGATCCTTACATTCACTGGGATTACTCTGGGTATTCTGCAAAGATAAGAGATGATATTGCGGGGTGGGAGGAGTGGCTCCCAATTCCTTGGTGGGGGAACAAGGAGAGAATGAACAACCAAGCCACAGATTCCTATCTCCAGAGAAAGGACACAGGCGCAGGGTTCCTGGTTGATCTCTAGGCTTTGCTACTTCTTCAACTTGTGTAACCTCCCTGAACCTCAGCCTCATCTACAGATGAGAAAGACTCCCTCATGGTGTGTTTAAGAACTCAGGTCCTGGAGTGGGTCTGCAGTAGTCAGTTCTACTTTGGGCAAGCCAATTTGGGTGTGGGGTCCCCTCAGCCCGGCCTGTGCCCTCTTGCATTCCAGGAGCCCTCAGGGGATATCTGACTGATGGCTTAGGCTGGCTCCCGCCACTGCTGCTGTGCTTGCCAGCCATGAGCCCGGTTCAGGGCTTCTGGCTGAGCGGTCCTCCTCCTGTGGGAGCGCACTGACCACCAGGGGGCAGCTCCTGCATTGAGCGTCTGCCCCTTGGTGGTCAGTGCACGTCATAGTGACTGGTTGTTCCACTGTTTGGTTGATTTGCATGCTAGCCTTTTTTTGTATAGGATATACTAGAGGCCTGGTGCACAGATTCATGCAACGGTGGTGTCCCTTAGCCTGGCCTGTGGCTCTCCGACATACCCAAAGGGGTCCCGGATTGTGAGAGGGCGCAGGCCAGGCCGAGGGACCCCACCGGTGCACAATTGGGGCTGGGGAGGGACTGTGGGATGGCTCCAGAATGTGTCCAGCCCGTCTCACCCAGTCCCAATTGGCTGGACCCAAGCAGCAAGGTAACCTACCAGTTGGAGCGTCTGCCCCCTGGTGGTCAGTGCACATACTGGTCAAACGGTTGCTTAGGCATATATATGTATGTATAAAGATTATTTATTTATTTTTACAGAGAGGAAGGGAGAGAAACAATGAAAGATGTGTGAGCAAAACATCTGGGAATTGAACTGGTACCCTTTTGGTGCACAGACCAATGCTCAACCAACTGAGACACACTGGCCGGGGTGCCACTTATATTTGAGCTTCAGTTTCCTTTTTTGACAGTTGGGAATAATAAAATAAATTAGGGAATAATAATGGCACAAAGCAATGCATATTGTGGGTGGGGGTGGGGGTGGGAGTGGTGCTCCCACTGTGCCAGGTACATGGGGACTGAGGCCAGAGTGTAGTAACCAAGTCACTTCTCAGCCCACAGTGAATGCCTCCAGACATGAACTTGTTGAATAGAAAGGCAGATGGGAGCCTGCATTTTTAAGAACTATTATACATTTTAAAAGGTGGAATTCACAATAAAATCAACCATTTTAAAGGGAATGATTCAATGTGGCATTTACTACTCACAATGTTGTGCAACCATTATCTCTAGTTCCAAAACATTTCCATCACTCCAAAATGAACCACTTACACTCCAAAACGAACCACTTACTAATTAGTTTTCCCATTACTCTTCTCCCAGCCTCCGCCAACCACCAATCTGCTTTCTATTTTCTTTAGTATTTGTAAAAATTAAAACTAATTTACATTCGGTAAAATTCACACTTTCCGTTTTTGGTTGTGAGTTTTGACAAATGCGAACAGTTGTATAAACACCACCACAATCACAATATAAAGTTCCCTCATCCCCAGAGTTCCCTCGGGTTCCTTTGTGGTCCACCCAGCTCCTGGTAACCATCGATCTGTTCCTACAGGTTTGCCTTTTCCAAAATGTTGTAAATAGAATAATAATATTTAGCCTTTTGAATCTGGATTCTTTTACTTAACATTGCAACTAAATGTGGGGGTACATCTAACTAAATTTACATAAGTTGACTACGTGTCCGAAGAGAGGGACTTAGCTAGAATCTGGGCGGGGACGCCCCTTCCCAAGGCCAGTCCCGCGGCCCCTTTTGGCCCGGTGCGAGGCGGGCCCACGGGCTCCGTGCAGTTCCTAAGAGAGTCAACAGAGGGCGCTGCGGACCCGGAACACCTGGTTCCTTGGCTACAGGCCAGAGGCGGGGCCTAGGATGGGGCCAGGAAAGTCCTCCTCCCCGGACTTGCCTGGAGGCCGTAGGCGGTCTCACCAGCGGGCAGCGGAAGTCGGGGTACCGCCCCTAGCTCCGCCTCCTCGCCTCGCCCCGCTGGGCCTGTTGGTGCGCATTGCTCTGCGGCGCCC